GAGGGAGACAGACACACAGACACACAGAGAGAGATAATAAAAATAAACCTTAGAAAAGTATCAACACTTTGCTGTGTGTCTGCCACATGGCAGTCACAAGAGGCTGTGTATTTCTGCACATCTATCCTATTCCCTGGTTCTGCAGGGGCCTATGCTGGACAGGAACGAAGCCAGTGGGAGGATTTCTCTCTGAGTTTGCAAGATCTTTCCCTCTCGAACTGGAGAGTTCTATAAAGCATATATTAACATCTTCAACACAGCAGGCTCAGAGAGGTGAAACAGCCCGAACTGTCCATCCAGTAAATGGCAGGGTGTGGCCGCCAAGGCCAGCCTGAGGTCATTCCCCAGGGAAGTGCCTTCTCCTCAGGCTCTGGACGTCTCTGGAAGTAGATAAATAAGTACATCCAACTGGATGACCTCGAGGGCCCTTCCTGCTATGACACTCAGTGATTAGATGATTCACAGGGACCTGCACTTAGAACAGCATCTGGGCAATTCCCCCAGCCCCAGCCCCTGAACCCTCAATTGTGCCCTTACATACCACAAAGGCAAGATATCCAGGGGCCCTGTCATCATTGTCTGTCCCCAAGACAGCAGGTCTTCCTGGCATCTGCTCCCACCCCAGCCTGCTGCTGTCTGAAGCCAGATCTCTGCACCGACTCCCAGTGATGCAGGCCCTGCCTTGGCCTTAGAGACTGTCTCTCCCAATCACTTTGCATTTGAGATGTCTTTGAGTCTGAGGCAAGATTCCTGTGCTTAAACCACCAGACTCTGACCTCTGGGGTCCAACACCTCTATCATCTTCTCATTTTAATCCTCAGCTTGGTTTCATCCCAGTCCCCCCACGTCCCAGTCCAGCTCCCTACCTCCCTGCTCCCTACTCTCAGGCCCACACTGCTCAGCCAAAGGCACCCCCGTACCCCCTTCTTATCGAGCCTTTCCCTGAGCAGAAACCACAAGGGATCCTGAGCACTGGAAAAGACCATCCCCTGTGTTCCTGAAGATGGCTTTGTAAAAATCTATTTTAAGGTCTGGAAATGCACCCCCAAATACCAGCCCCAATGGAGCATCTCGAGGAGCATCCTCCCTGGATGTTCCAACATTCTACCCTTCCCCACCCCCGTCCAGCTGCCTACTTGAAGGTTTTTGGGGGAAGTTGTTACTCTGAGCAAAATAAGCCGGAAGAGATTTAAAACAAAGCCAGCTGGTGTCTGGACCAGAGCCACACACTGAGGGGGTCTGGGTTGAAAGAGCTGGCTCCTCAGTGACGTGGGGGCCACATGTGGCTGTGTGACACAAGGTGGGTGCCTCCAAGTCTGAAGATAACTGGGATTCTATAGCCAGCCATCTGAGACTGTATGCCATGAATATGAGGGTGTATGAGCTAAGGCATATGTGTAGCTTTGTGAGGCACAGGTACATACATCTGAGGGACGTGGACCTTCTTGTCTGTTCAGAGAACCACACTTTAGAGCTTACTGTGACCAGGCACAGTGTAATGAGAGTCCCTGGTCCATGCTTTCCTGGCAGTGTAAGAGGCGTGCCTGAGCAACACACTCTGAGTATGTCACCGCACAAACCATGGATTTGTGTCTATCTCGTGTGACTCTGCAACACCTATGTATGACTATGCAAGTGTATTTGTGGGGCTATTTGTCCTTAGGGAACTAAGAAATGACAAATGTGATCATGAGGCTGTGTGTCTGTAAAAGCGTGGAGTCCCTTAGCATGGCTGTTTCTTATAAATGTACATGTCCGTACATGGAGGCGGGAACTAGGAAGGGCAACTGCGGCTAGAGTCCAGTCTCCATCGCCCTGCGCTGTGCAGTCTGGAGTACCTGACTTTTCCTCTCTGGGCTGTTACTGCCTGCTAGTGAGAACCACAGCATCTCACACACACCAGCCCATACAGCATCTGCAGAATGTGCACCTCCTCTTAGTCTCTGGGGTCTCAACAACAGCACATGTCCCTCCTCCCCCACTTTCCCCATTTCTTTGTGCCCAAACCCCTCACCAGGCTGGGGGAGCTGCAGTGTGCTTTTGCTCCACTGGGTCAGACCAACGATAGCCACCATCTTGGCACCCAGGCTGCTTCGCCGTTTCTTGGCTGTGGTGGTCCCGGCCCCACCTCCGGCTTGCTGGGATCCACAGATCTCACCGCTGATGCTGGAGCTCCTTATGACATTCCTGGAGGCCCCAGCCGAGGCTGGACCAGGCTCCCCGTTAAACATGGTCCCTGGGATGACGGGGCTTCAGGTAATTCTGAAAGTGTGTGGGAGAAAAAGGAATTCCACATGAGACCCTTGTGACTCTCCTGCAACCCCACTGCTGCCTAACTGTGGGAGCTTGGATCCTCACTTGGCCTCTATGAGGTGGTAAGGATGAAATGAACAAATCTCCAACTGACTCAATAAATAAGGGCAGGGTCACTTGTGTGATGTGCAGAAGGCCCGGGGTGTGACTCCCCCCCCCACACACACACCCAGTGTTGCCACAATCAAAGCCAAGGCCAGCAACCTGGCTTTGTGCTTGCTGCCAAGCCTGACTTCAGTTCTACCCCTGGAACTTACATGGTCCTAGGGAATCTCACTTTCCAAAAGTTGACCTTTAACCTTCCCACAGTAACTATGCCACAGGCATACCACCACCAACTTTAAATAAATATGTAATTTAAAAAATTTTAATATATAAAATAAAATAAGCAAAGTCCCTAGAAAACGACAAGTGGGACTTAGTGCCTGGCGTGATGAGCAGCAGATGCCCATTTGGCAGCAGACACTGAGGCTCGGGCGGAACTCTAATGGCTCCCATACAAACGCTGCGTGACTCTGTGACCAAACATGTTAGAGTTTCTGTAAATCCCTCGGCAAAATAAAATCTAAAAAAATATATATATATATCAAAGCCCTTCTACTTCTCAGGGTCGCTGTAAGGATTAAATTAGCAAGTATTTGCAAAATGCAGAGCACAGTCCCAAGGCAAGTTGCTCTCCCATCAAGTGACAAGGACAAAAGTCTATGCAGTCTGAGAACAGCGTCTCCTTCCGAAAGGTGCTGGCCCAGAAAAGTCTACAGTGGAGTCAGAAATCAGTTCCCCACACCGCAGAGAGGCCTTGCTGTCAGCGTTTACTCCAGCTTGCTTTGTGCTCTTAAAAAATAACTGGACTCACACTGTAAATACGATTTTAAGCCCTGGTACGTTTCATTTCACATCATATCGTAAGCATTTCCCAGTGTCATTAACACTTTGTATAAATGTTTCAATGCCACTGTAATCGTCCCTTGTACAGACGGCACATAATTGACTTAAATATTTCAATGCAGTTTCCTCTTGAATCTGATCCAAATCTCTCTCTCCTCTCTTTTAAATAAAGACTTAAACCAGGCGTGGTGCTTCACGCCTGTGATTCCAGTGCTGGAGAGGTGGAGGCAGGAGAATCTACTCACTAGACTGGGCTACATAAGACCTCGCCTCACATAAAACAAGCAAAGGCTGAGCTGAACGTCTTTCTATGCAGGTTCTGCTGATTGCCTTAGGAATGGACTGACTGGCGGTGGTGGAGTGTGGAACACCCAACCCTCTCCCTGCTGGCTGGCAGACAAGGGTTTTGGCCAAGTGCTGCCCTGCCTGTTGCTTCGGAGACAGAGACTGATTAGTTTAAGGCCACTGGCTTTCTCCTCAGCAAGTCATTTGTTTGGGAGTAGACATCTGACCATTGCTCAATTCACCTTAAGAGTGGTAGAGCCCTGCCCCCTCCCAACCCATACCCCTCCTACCCCAGCACAACCTTCGGCAGAAGCCTGTTCTGCTGAGAACCACAGCACACAGCACAGAGAAGATCAGGTCACACCTGGAGCCTGCTGTCCTCTGGCACTCAGTTCAGAAAGAATGTGTTTTCTCTTGCTTAAGCTAGTTTGAATCAGTGTTCTCCATTATATCCAAAAGCATTCTGTCTGATATTAGGGCTTTAAAAAAATTCTTGGACTATATTGCCAAATCCCTTTCCAAAGTATAAAAATTTACTGTCCTCATTAACTGCATTCAACAAATGTTTAATTTCCTAAAATTCCAAGGCCAAGGCTGAGTGCCAGGGATACAGCAGTGAGCCAGGCCCACTTGGTCCTGCCCTCCCAAGACCTCCAGTCCAGCAGGGGAGACAGACAGTAAATAACTAATTATACCATTAAATATTTAATGCTGGTTACGATAAGAGCCAGGGAAGAGGAGGACAGAGGACTCTGAGAACACTCTGGGGGAGGGGATGACAGGTGTCGTGGCCCTCTCTTACACAGGGGTGGGGTCTCTTTGTGTTTGTATGTGTATGTGTCAGAGACTGGCATCCAGCCTCAGCCTCAATTCTTCTCTACCTTATTTTGTAAGACAGGGTCTCTTACTGTATGTGGAGTTCGGTCATTTGGCTAGACCAGCTGGGGAGCTGACCTCAGGTCCTCATATTTGCAGAGCAAGTCCTTTACCTACTTAACCATCTCTCCAGCCCCAGAAGTTAGGGTCTCCAGCTACCACTGGCTCTGTGACCTGGCTGTTAAGTCCAAGGCCACATTAGTTGGCTGTGCTCCGGCACAGTAAGAAAGCCACCTCTTTGTTCTCTGTACCACCTCGCTTCTATGTTGACAGCCAGTCTTCCTGGGCTGGCTGTGCATCCCAGGGGTCAGGATATTTTGTTTGAGAGACTCTGAATTTTCAAAAGGATGTAGAAGAGGAGGGGAAATGAAGGGGGAGGGAGCTATTTTCTGGCTGCTGAAGAAAACAGTCTCCATGCCACTGAGGACAGCTACTGCTGAGGAAGACAGTCCCCACGCCACTGAGGACATCTACTGGTCCTCCTGTTACAAGGCTCCTGCCAACTGACCCAGTGAATTTAGGCTGAAGTTAAGGGGTGAGTCAAGGTCTCCTTCTGCTGTCTTTGGGGCTGTGGGGACTGCTTTCCTTGGTGGTACTACAGAGTCTGGGGTTGTATTTCTCTATCCCCCATCAGCCTTAGAGCTAATGGAAAGTCTCTGTGGTGCGTGGTGATCTCTTCTGTTTAGTTTCCAGTTCTTGTGCCAGTCTGCATGGGTTTGGGGGTATCTGTACAGTCTTCTGGTGGAAGATGGGACAGGGCTTATCTGATGCTGTGACTCTGCCACAGTGTGAGTCTAACTTGCCCACTGCAGTAGCTTTTCAAGATGCCTCGTTATCTCTTCAGGGCAGATGAGAGCAACGAGTGTCAGAGAAGCAGAACAGCTTGTCCCACTCTGCCAGGACGTGGCATGGCTTCGGTTAGAACCTGGGTCTCCTATGACTATAAAGAGGCCTACATGCCCAGCAGCCCCTGCTCCTCCATCTCGACCTCATCCAAAGGCAAAGGCCCAACCTGCCAGGGCAGGCTCCACCCTGAGTCTCCGGGTTCTTTGAGAAAACTGCAAGCAAAGTATCTATGATGAGAAAGCCCAAGCTCCCGAAGCCAAGCATCTAAGGGGCAGAGATCCTGGGTTATAGGTAGAAAAACAAACACATCCCTGGTGAGCCTCCAGGACACTTGAGGGGTGTGAAGGGACAGAATTCCAGACCGAGCCAACCTGGGAGCTCATGTTTCTTCATGAATAACAAATGGACTGACAAGCAGACTGACTGACATCCAGGGCTCTACGGTAAAGAGCCATGCGCTCATCTTCAAGCATCCGGCTGAAGTACCGGTGAGTGCTTAGGTGACCCTAGCTTGCAGGCTACTCCTCAAGAAGGCAGGAGGAACCAGACACAAAATACTAGGCCTGAGGTCATGGGCACACATCTTACTACCGAAACCTGGGAGAGCTGGGCACTGGGATGTGGGTCAGAAGAAGCAGATTCGTCTCCTCTTCTTTTCTGGGTCTTGGTTTCCTCATCTTTGTGTTAAATGGAGGGTGTCACATCAGGTGCTCTCGAAGGCTAATGCTGCAGGGGCAGGCGCAGAAAAGAACTCAGCTGGCAGAGTGCTTGTCTAGCTGGCACGTCTATAACCTCTGCACTTGGGACGTAGAGACAAGAGGAGTTCAAGGTCATCCGTAGTTCCTTGAGTTCGGAACCAGCCTGGGCTACATCAGACTCTGTCTCAAAACAAGGAGCCATGGAGGAAGATGACAACAATAACACGTCTCTAAGTCCTCTCTTCAGGGAAGTCAGAGACACAGGGGCCAATCACACCAGGCCCCAGAGGAAGTTAGTCTTTGCACTGCAACCCCAAGCCATCAGATCACAAGGATCTGGAAGGGAAGGCAGCAGAGCCAGGTATAGTGAGGCCCTAATAGGACCCAGAATATAGCATGTTGCATACTGATGGTCTCAATGGTCGCCGAATGATCGGCATCCTCTCCGTGAAGGCTACATCTAGCATCCCCCTGCTTGTGCAGGCAGGCTCTCTCTCTGCCCAGTTCATGACACTTCAAGGTTGTGATCCTCTTGTGGGCTCCTTGACTTGCAAAGACCTCACTCAGCAGTGTTCTGTGATGCCGCCCACCCACTACACAGCAGCAGAGGAGCTGGTTCCAATGGGAGATACCCAGGAATGGGTCTAGTGCTTCCTTTTTTGCCCTGGCAACTGAACTTCTACCTGGGATCTTGCTACCCTAGGGACTCCACAGTTGCTGGAGAAGCTCTCAAGGTCCTCCTAAGCCCCCTGCAGCCAAGCCCCCTGCAGCCAAGCCCCCTGCAGCCAAGCAGCTTCCCTTGGCAATCAATGAAGCACCCAAAAACTCAAGATGGTAAACTTACCACCTGCTCTTCTAACATGGAGGACTGGGGACCTCATCCCAGAGTGCCCGTAACATTATGCAGGAAAGGACTGCAAGTGACCGAGGCTCACTCATCTTTCCCTACTGTCTGCCTACAGCAAGAGTCCACTTCATTCCAAGAGGCATGACAGACCTCAGAAGGCCCTCAACACAGTGCTCCAGGACCAGCACAGGAGAACAGCCTTGGAGCCCAAACTGGTGTGCCCTCAATACTCCACCCTTTCAACATCAGGGACGGGGAGGGAGACCAAGGCCTGGAATGGAAGAGATACATTCAAGGCTGTCCTCCAGTCCTTCTTCTAAAGCCCAGATTCCCACCACCTGTCAGGGACTCCCTCCCTCCCTCCCTCCCTCTTACCTAGAAGGAAAGGTAAACTCACCAAGCTGCTGAGTCTGAGTGTGGTGCTCCGCATCACAAGGGGCTGTGCTCTCTCAACAGCACACCCCCTAGGGAATCTGCACAAAGCTTCACTTCTGCTGAGATACCAATTTTCAGAAAAGGAGGTAAAGGCAATCAGGGCAGGCTTCCTGGGGGAAGAAATGTGATGACAGGGTCTGCAAGGAAACAAAATTGAGCACAAAAAGACAGCTAATTGACGCCTCTGTCCCTGGCGAGTTCTAGCAGTTGCCTGAGGGGAAACACAGAGGCTGAAGACAGCTGTGGGATACTGACCAAATCCTTCCAATTTTCAGATTTTATTTCCTCCTCTTGTTTTGCTTTCCGTTTTGTTTTTCAAGGCCTCGAACTCAGAGCTCCATCTGCCTTAGAGACAGACTCAGGTAGCCTAGGTTGACTTCAAACTCATTATAGTTAAGGATAACCTTGAACTCCTGATCCTTCTGCCTCCACATCCTAAGTGTGGGATGACAGGAAGGTGCCACTACACAGTCTCTGCCCCATGCAGGCCAGAATGCTGAGGAGCCCCGGGCCCCATCCCCTGCCCTCTATCTGCTCTCGGTACATCCCCTAGCACCTGTTTGTCCCCTTAGACCAGCGGTTCTCAGCCGTCCTAACGCTGCAGTCCTTTACTACAGTTCCTCATGCTGTGGTGACCCCAACCAGAAAGTTATTGTTGCTACTTTGTAACTGTAACATTGCTACTGTTACGAATCATAATGTAAATATCTGTGTTTTTTGATGATCTTAGGTGACTCCTGTGAAAGGGCTCAAACCCTCAGCTTGGGAACCATTGCCACAGATACAGTGCCATAACCAGCAGTTGAGGTGGGAGGCACTTCCAATACTGAGAAAGTCGCCCAGCGTCCCAAGCCTTCATGTCTTCTAAGAAGAATCTGATAACTACCTGGACCTACTCAGCTTTCCCAGATGGGTCAACAGGAGATGATGGAAAAAGACAAAATAAACAAACAACAAAACAAATAAAAAACCAAAGAGCATGTGCACAGGAGCTAGGCAGTGTGACAGCCAAGCCTGCCACTCATAAGCAGAGTTAGAGAGTTTCTATCTCCAACCCCCAGTGCATGGCTCCTCTTCCCTAAAGTGAGGTGACCACGTGTGCTCTGCTCTAGAAGCATTAGATAAAAGGTTACAAAACAAGACTGGTACTGTTCGCTGCCCAGCTGGGCAGTTACCTGCTTCTGGGAATGATGGTGCCTGGAACACGGTGAACACTTTTCCAGGATTAGTTCCTACCCCCATGGGCAGCCTGCTCAGAGGGAGGCCCAGGGGCTAATATGATCACCCACAACCACCACTCTAGGTGTGTGGGGTACATATGCACCTCTCAGTTGTGATGGCAGGTAGCTATGTCAGCATCTATCTAGATAGTCTGGTGCCTATGAACCCTGCCTCAAACCCTGGTTGAGGGCCTAACTCTACCCCCTCCTTCCTCTACCTAGGGAGCGGTGGGAGGATGACAGGGGTTGGTGCATGGTGGGGAGGCAGGTTAGTCCAGGAAGCACAGGCTGCCAGGGTCAGGAGCATACCTCATATAATCTCCTAGTGTGGAGACTTCTGTCTTTCCAGACAACACCTCCCAACGGGGGGCGGCCCCCCCGCCGCGCGAGAGAGAGAGAGAGAGAGAGAGAGAGAGAGAGAGAAAACGAGAGAGAGAGCACATAATTTCATTTTAGAGACAGGAACATCATGTGTTCACGGATATGCACATGCCCCAACCAAGATGCTCACCCACACAGACACATAAGAAGCGGCCACACAGCTATTCGGATTCTGTGTACACACCTCATATAGTCACATGCAGTGTCTCCTCCCCTTGGTGCTGCCCAGTCAGAAGAGCAACAGCAAAGTCCCTTGCTTCCACGGGCAGAAAGCGAGACGTGTCTTATCCCACTCCTGGCTCCCTAGGCTGAGGCTCATACACCAGCTTGGAGCAGGCTCTTGCATGAGCTTGAACACATACACACTCATACACAGTCCAACCCCCAACCCCGCTCTCCTGGCCCCATCTCTGCTAGACCGGACAAAGCAGCTCATCGGTGAGGCTTGTGGTAAAGAGATGGGAAGGCTGGCAGGGAACAGCTGCTGTCACCATGGCTACCAGCTGACCCACTTCTCCTCCACCCAGACTGGCCCACCCAGCCCAGGCGAGGCAGTTACAGGCAGCTTTGGGTAAGGCTGGGGCCCTTTTCCATCACACTGAGAAAGGAACAGCTCTCTGAGGGTGTGATAAGGGATGAGCTGAGACCCACAGGCCTTCCTATGATGGAAGCCACTAGGCTCCAGACAGTCCCTGAGAGCAGAGCACTGAAAATATGTTCCTGAGAAATCTGTGTTCCTCCATCATCTGGGTCTCTTGCCTCAAAGAGCACTACCCAGGCCCTTGGACACATTCTCACTCACAGCCCTCACAGTAATGCTGGGTGGAGTGGTCACATGCCTCCCTCTGTCCCAGGCCTCAGTGTTCTCAGAGGTCCAGCAGACTCTAGGCTGGTGAACAGGCATATGGAAAGCAAGGGCCACCTCCTGCTTCCTTCCAGGCTCAGAGCTAACATGTGCCTTCTCCCAGCCAGGGGACTCCCGAGGACATGGCTCCGTGTATCTCCTCAGAACTAGCAACTTAGAGCAACTCAGCCTCCAGGATGCTCAGTCACAGAAAGAGATGGTCTTTACTCAGGACGAACCCCATCCCTTTGCTTGACCCTAGCCATTTCATATCCTTCCCCTGGCCCTGACTTCAGTCCCTGACTTCCCCCACATAGGTCCCACTACATCCTGGTTTCTTGCCCTATCCTGTAATAAGACCATACTAACTTCTTTCCATTCTTCACAAGTGCCACTGTGTCTTCTCTGTTTACCTGGGATACTCTTCTACATCTTTCCCCTACCGCCATGTTCCAAGAACTGCATGCTTGTCTGTCCTTCCACCCTGGCCTACCTGATTCCTATTCATCCCTAAGTTCCCCTTTGAAGGTCATCATTCCTAGCGATCTTCCAGGGCAAAGTCAATCAGTCCCCTCTTGCTGCTCCAGAACTCTGGTCAGTCCTTGAATGTTATGGGTTAAAGTCCTGAGGCCCTGAACCTTGAGTGTGGCCTTGACTGAAAATGTGATCTTTGCAGATGTGATTAAAGTCATCCTGAAAGGTGGTGGGGGTAGGACTGTCCCTATTCCAGCTTGTATCCCCTGCGGGAAGACAGCATTGAACAGAGGCAAAGAAAGAACGGTATGTAAGTCCAGACTGGAGTCAACAAGCCAAGGATTGCCAGTAGCTACCAGAAATCGACCTGTCAGACACCTTGATTTCCAACTCCCAACCTCCAGAACTGTGGGAGAACAGATCCAGGCTGCTCTGAGCTGTCGTATTTGTGCTATTTTGTCTCAGCAGCCCTGAGACATGAATATACTGCAGTCTATAACTTGTTCAGTGCCTGTCTTCCATACCCAGCCTCAGGCTGTGAGCTGCTTAAAAACAGGAACTGTGTTCTTCACCCAAAATCTCCAGTACCTGGCATGGGTCTGGCAACATAGCAGGGCTTTGTAAATATTTATTGAAAAAAATGAATGGCAACCAAAGGTTGAACGCTGATGAAGAGAGGATCCATGAGTCAGCTTCATTTTCTTCATGTGACATATTGTGTTTTCTAAAGCTACTACTTTAGAAACTACATTAATGCTACAATAAAGGCAAAAACAATAAATATTTTCCTTTCCAAAACATATGCTAAAATAACAGACATTTCCACCAATGTGTGTTCTGAGATGGCGACAAGTTCTCCTCCATGCTTGATGACTGCTTTCTATTGATTAATCGATTCCTCCTTGGGTTGCCAGAGTACTTTCTGCAGAGTTACAGAGCTGGAGCTCAGGGACCTGGGAGGGTAGAGATTCCAGGTGGGAAGGCTACACAGTCTTCTTGGTCATCTCCACTATCCACTCCTCCACCAGAGACTGTGGAATCTGGCCAACATGGCAGCCACCACCTGATGGTGCTAAACCTGGCATCTGAGATCACCCTCCCATATCCTGGTGATAGGCCATGCACCAATACAAACAGTATACTCAATGAACATACCAATCAGTGCTTCTCAGGCTCAGATGCAGACACAAATCACCTAGGGATCATGCTGAAACGCAATTCTGGCTCTAGGGATCACAGGTGGAACCTGGAATTCTGTATTTTTCACCAGCTTGCTACTGGTCTGTGGACCATGGACTCAGGACTCATGGACCTGAGATGCCAAGGGAAAACTCTGGGTGTTCTGTAAAAAGAAAGAATACTATAGGATGGGGAGAACCAGAAACAGCATCCGGAAGGAGTATGGAGCAGAGCAGAGCAGAGCAGAGCAGAGCAGAAGACAGGAAAGACAGAGGCCACTATACAAGAAAACAGTGGGAACCACTGGGAAGGTCCACAGAACAGCCATGTTCAGAGGCTCAAAAGCAGATCATAGCAGAGGAGAAGGCAAATGCAACACGGAAGAGGAGATTGGAAAGAGTGCTTACGAGCAGTCAGTGAGGGGTCCTGACTGTGGAGCTAAGAAGCATGTCTTTTAATCCCGTAGGAGTGAAATCTAACAAGATTTAAGCACCAAGCTTTCCAGAGATCAATCTAGCACTGCGTGAAGAATCAGAAACAAGCTGATCGAGGGGACAGCTGCTCCATGCAGGTTGGAAGGACTGTACTGCTGCCCTGCATGAGGAAAGAGGAAAGGGTAGTCAGGGATGGGGTTCAGGAGTCACTAGACAGGGTAAAGGGACACATTTTGGAGAAGGGAGTAAGAAGAGCCCATGCTGATTTATAGGGAAGATAGAAATGTATGGTGCCATCAGCAGAGCCTGAGGTCCCTGAGGACAAACCTGGCCAAAGGGGAAAATGGGTCAGAAGGAGCCTAAGCCAACACTGCAGTTTACAGGTATAGGAGACGCTGGGTGGGAAGCAGAGCTTCCTGTGAGCTCAGGAGACCTACATGAGTGAGCAGGAATGAGTGTGCCCCCAGAGAGAAAGGGGGATTAGAGAGCAAGTGGGATACTCAGGACAGAGTATAGGCAAGGACAGGGTCAGGGTTGTAACCCACAGTAAAAGGCAGGAGACCTGCAGAGGGACAACAGGCAGTTCAAAGTCGGAGAAGCTGAGC